GCTCACTTCCTGTTTGGGTGCCCGGCATTATAGCTGCACGATGGAAATCAGCTTCCATTTAAAGGGAACTTGTTGGGTTTTAAAAGGAAAGCTCACGAGTTTTAGAACGCATCACGATTCATTATTGTCAATCCTGAACTAACTTATTGATTTATCTTAATGTGAGCCGGCCTGCCGATGCTAAAATCAGGCTTCAGCTGCCATTAGCGGCCACATTATGGACGGTGGGGTTCGCTGTTGCCCGGCCGCAAGAGGCCGGACGGCACTCCCAGTCTTTTAGTGGTCAGGGCGGATTTAACACTTTCCTGTGTTCACTCTTCAATTCCGGAGCTCTTATTCCTTCCCAGCCTTGATGGGTTTAGTTATTTTAACGTAAGGAGTTTAAGCTCCGCCTTCAATGCTGTCTATTGGCGTTTGCCACATGCACCGTTGTCTTGTCTCCAGCACTAACCCCCACACCGCAGCCAGTTCCTCCTATATTTGGCATTACAGAGTGACGGGTTCTCTTTAGGATGGCCTTGGACAGGAATCTCTTGTGCAATGTGAAGGAGATCTGTGCTGAGGTATTGGTTGCACGGTCTAAACTGACATTTGGGAAGAGTTGGCCAATGATTGGGCCTAATTGGCAATCTTCTTCCCCTTTTTGCCTAGGCATTGGTCACATGACTGGTCATGGGGAAAGGAACTCTGGGTTTTGTTTTCTCCAGAAAGGGAATGTTTTTCACAGCTTCAGTTACGTGCCCATGGACGGAGGGTGACCAGGCCGCCATGCAATATCCGTGTGCACCAGCCCTGAAGGAGCGTTTTTGGAGAACAGTCAGTTGAGATAACCTCGCCCAATCGCATTTTTTGTCCTGCACACCAGGGGTGGTGAACCTTGCGCTCCAGCTATGGTGAATCTTAAAATCCCATCATGCCTCTGGTTCTGGAAGTCATGTCTGTGACAGAGTCTTGCAATGCCTGATGGGGCTTGTTGTTCCACCGAGGTTGCCCACGCCTGAACTACCCGGATCCCCTGCCCTCCTCCAAGTGGGAGCGTTGGGACATCTACTTGGAGGAGAGTAGGCAACTGTGTAGTCCAGAGATAGGCAACCTTAGCACTCCATCTGTGGTGAAACTACAAGACCCAGCAGGCATTGCAAGACTCTGTCCGCCACAGGCATGACTCCAGGGGTGTCCCAAGGCCGCCCTGAAGTCATTGCGCGTGCGCAGTTGTCTTATTGACGCCTGCCGGTAGCCATCTTGGTGATGGACGCCAGCAAAGAGAGGAGGGGACGTTCACCTGGCGGGATGAGGTATGCCGCCGGGTCCTCTCCTGACACTGTCGGGCTCTCGGTCAATCACAGAGTGCCCGACTTTTCAGAGGGTGTGATGCCAAAATGACTGTCTGCCATTTTGGTGTCACCCCTCCAATGGTGGCACCGGGGTGCGGGCTGCACCCCCCCCCTGTGACGCCACTGCATGACTCCCAAAGGCAGAGGCGAGTACTCCTGTTTTAATGGAAAAACGAACCAAGTTGGCATTGCGAGAAGGTAGGATCTAGCATCCGCGCCTGAGCATTCACGAATATCCATGGCCAGCTTTAACCATCGGCCAATGGGTTTTACCAATCATATTTGAGGCCTACGTTGATGGGCTTTTGTCCACATCAGAACCGCTTCTCTCTCCATAGAGGCGGGAGAGCAAAAGCCGCGTCAGAAGGAGGCCAACGGAAGGTGAGACGCACCTGTCAATGAATTCTGAAGGATCTCAGAAGGCTTAAAGGATGCCCTCATCGGCATCGACCCTTCTACTCGGGGTTCCTGAGCCGTGGCGCCTTGTTGCCTTCGAGAAGGCTCCATATGTACGCAGCTGCCTGATCACCCGGCCAATGTGTCCGTGGGCCTGTAGAACATATGTCTGTACGTGTCTGCTAGTGTAAGGACAGTGAGTCATACTTTGCATCA